ATACACACACACACACACACACACACACACACACACACACACACACACAAACACACACACTGGCTTCACAACACTCATCCGCAGCTTCGTAACCACACTCTATCACATTTCATTTTTTCTACTTTTCTCTCTCCATCCAACCCAAACAATTGCCATTTCTACCACCCCTTTTCCCAACCTCATAAATCTACCCGGATCTGTCTCAGCCTTCACGTATCTTAAAGGACTTAATCCAACCTCAAACCAGCAATATCTTGACGGCAATTTAACCACGGGCTAAAACAGACATCAAAGAACATGCAGTAATGCACACCAAACTCCTAGGCTAGTCTTTGATGTACAAGGGCGGACGCCAATCGAGGCTTGCTGTGTACGCTAGCGACGTGGCCACACCATCACAAGTATCAAAGACGGTACTTTTATACTACTTTCTACTTTCTAAACGAAAAACCAAGTACAGGGTAATGTAGGACAAACCAACATTTACTATAAAGATTTGACTTTGTGGAAAATGTCAACATTTTATTTTTCTGAGTTGCAAATGATGGCTGTATTATTCAACGAATAATATGTGTGAACGCTAATGGGGTTTCAAATTTGGAGAAAAAAAAAGTCGTTTGCACACATGTCTGTTTTTTTTTTGTCCAAATATGCGACAAAATATCATTTCGTTAGATACGAGGTTTTCAGTCCTAACAACAATATTGCTTTAAATCCTCTAGGCGCAAGTCAGTAGATGGTGGGACTAGTCTATCCATTCATTCCTTTCAAGCGTATTGAGTTACTCGGAGTCTGCTCGTAAAACGATTCCTGGGAAAGCTGAGATGAAAACGTTTCACCTGCAACTTTCACAAAATCTGGGGGGCACAGGTTTAAAGATTCTCACGTCGGTGTTAAAAAAGGCACAGAATGTCAGCGATATTATAAACGTTGAATGCACTTGGCCGCTTATGAGTTGGATAACGTTCGGTTTTTAGAAATATTGGGATGTAGAAATCTAGTTAAAATGATTTATACTTTTCAAGAATGCAAGTGTTTTTTAAAATTTGTTTTAAAAATTGTTTAAGAATATGAAAGTACCCGTCAAGTGACTTTTGAGGTGGCATTGGTAGCCTAGAGGTTAGGCTACCGGACCCGTAATGGTGAGATTGTAGGTTCGAGGGTCCGAGCCTCTGCTCGGTCTGACATTGTGTCTTTGGGGAAGGCATTTTACACGAATTTCCCCTTTTAGCTCTGTTCTTTTTTAAAAGTACGTTACACTCAGAGATCCCGCCTCTTACATAACCTAAGAGTTTCGATTTACCTCTATTTTTTAAAAAGTTCAACACATGTTCTTTCGTTTTCTTGACGCCTTTGATCTCCAACAGAATATTCTCTACCCCCCCCCCCCTTCCCTCAGCCTGAACCCACTGTGGAAACAGGTCAGAGTTGTACCCAGAAGTGCCGAGTTCGATTCGCGAGAAAGGAAATGATTCTTTTTATCGAGTGTCTTCTTCTGTCTTCTCGGATCCAGTATCCCACTGTGCCCAGGCAGGTTGGCCGTGCCGACCTCTTTTTTGAGTTTATTACTCTCTTGAAACACCTCTAATCTTCGGCGGGTGGTTGGAGGGTGCCACTGGTATGTCCTACTTCTTTGCTTTCCCTCTGTTGTTTTTGTCTGTCTGTCTTACCTTTTCCCTGCTCTAAACGACCATCATTGTGTCGATGTGCATCTCTTTAATCAAACAAACAAACAAGCATCTAATCTTCGGCACTTAAATGACCTTATTGTGTTTCAGGTGTCGTAAAACTTATCACTGTAACAAAACAAATCTCTTTGTCCACAGGAGCTCGCCGACCGTCCGAACCGGTCCTCTCTGTGTCGGCCAGTCCCCCAGCTGACCAGGGCTACACTCCACGACTTATTGGCTCATCTGTCTTCTCAGCACAACACAACTCTTCTACTGCTGGTGCTGGTGTTGGTGGTGCTGGCAGTGGTGGTGATTACAGCGACATCAACAGCCTCACACAGCTGCAGAAGCTGGTATGTGCTGATCTGTTGTTGTGATTTGTTGCTGTTGTTGTTTTCGTTATTGTTGTTGTTGCTGTTCTTGAAGGCAACTACCACACTAACCTGTGCCAAGTGCATGGCTTGTGTGTTGTTCTTGTGACTAGTGCAGTACGATTTTTACGAATAGAAACTTCATCAAAGCTTCGAAGCATGAAGTCACTCTTCGCTCAATTCGAATATCGTATGCAAATTGTTGTTTTTTGTTGTTGTTGTTTGCTTTCTTTCACACACTTAGAGACATGTTTAATTAGCTGGCTCACTTTTCACGATGTCTCGTAACTGTCAAGTGCAAAGTATTTCTATTTCATCTACCTAAATTATTTTATATATGATGTTTTGTAATTGTTCGATGGGTGGAGACAATAAATGTGTAGAAAATGCATTGTCGGGGCGGGAAAAGACATCCATTAAAAGAAATATGAAGTTATAACAACTGTACGATCTATTAGATATCAAAGCAACCTAACACAATACCCTGTCGTTCTCAGTTTATAATGAAGAGCCCAAGACGCGAGGGTAGATTAAAAGAACTAAACATTCTCGAGAAAAAAAAATAGCAGTGATTAAAGGGGAATAATATCAGAATAGCTTCCAGAGGTGCTTTTAGAGCAATTTCTAACCCACTCTCTCTTTCTCTCTCTTTTTCTTCCGAAACACAACACACACATACACATACATACACCCCCCAACACACACATACACACCTACATACTTACACACACTTACACACGCACTCACATTTACACTCACATACCTATACTCCT